GGCCCCATTTGAGGGGGGGGGGGGGGGAAGAGGCGAGGGGGGGAAGGCCGGAGGCGAGGGGGGGGAAGACAGCCGAGGTTGCTCGGAGCCAGGAGCAGGGAAGAGAGACTGCCGAGGCCCGGCGGTTGTAAGCCACGCGAGCCTCGCTTCGGGGGGGGAGAGAGAGACTGGGGAGGGGGGGAAGAGAGAGAACAGGGGGGAAGAGAGAGACTGGGGGAAGAGAGAGAACGGGGGGAAGAGAGAGAACGGGGGGAGAGAGACACAGAGAGAGAGATTGGGGGGGAAGAGAGAGAACAGGGGGGAAAGAGAGAGTCTGGGGGGGCGGCGAGCTGGGGGGTGGTAGTTGAGGGTGGTGGTGGAGGAGACGGGGGAACCGACGGGATGGGGGGGAAGCTTACCTGCTTCTTCCTCCTCCCCTGCTCTGTGTGGAGCTCCCCCGCTCCTCCCCCACCCGCGATTTTCGCAGGTCCCCTTCCTTGTATTACATATTTCCCAGTGGGCATATGTTGCATCCATAAAACTTACTTATATGTGACTTTCTGTACATAGCTCATTCAGAAAATGCCCATATATCCAAAACACTTCTGCTACTTGTTCTCTGATTATTGTCTGTTGTTCCGGTAGCAATCTTTTGTGACTACTACAACCCTAAGGATATATGTAAATGGCACTATGAGCCTTGTGGACGTGAAATTATGACTTGCAAGATGCTGAACAACATTGCCACCAACTTTTCAGTGCCATATTTGGAAGGTAAGTTACGGGCAGCTTTTGGTCATTAAAGAATATGTCTTAACATTTTGGAATACACTCTTCACTCAGTGGGCTATGTAGCTCTGAAATTTTACAGACACCCATAAAAACACTTAGGATTTGCAGAAAACTGCAGAAAAACACTCTTCTTCACACGGCTGCTCTCTTGTCAAATAGTGGGATAGCAACCAATGCTCCCTCTAAGCTGTGGAGTCTTGTGAGCAAAAATTCTACATTGTGAACTACTGGCATTAAAACTGTCAGCAAGCAATTCTGTGACTGTTTAAGTTAGTTTGCTCCGGAGCCGTCCTTCCTGAGCTAAGACAAAAAATGCGTGAGCTGGAGGCTAAAAACCTGTGAGCTAGCTCACACTAACTCAGCTTAGAGGGAACACTGATAGCAACTATCAACAAGTAGGGCAGACTTCACAAGTAACCTTAAGAACATAAGAACATAAGAGACGCCAATGTTGGATCAGGCCAAAGGCCCATCCAGTCCAACGCTCTGTGTCACATAGTGGCCAGAAATACCAGGTGCCATCAGGAGGTCCACCAGTGGGGCCAGGACATTAGAAGCCCTCCCACTGTTCACCCCCCCCCAAGCACCAAGAAGACAGAGCATCACTTGCCCCAGAGCCCCTATCTATACCTTGTGGCTAATAGCCACTGAAGGACCTCTGCTCCATATGCTTATCTAATTCCCTTTTGAAGCCGTCCATGCCTCTAGCCGCCACCACTTCCTGTGGCAGTGAATTCCAAGTGTTAATCACTCTTTGGGTGAAGAAGTACTTCCTTTTATCCATTCTAACCCGACCGCTCTGCAGTTTCATGGAGTGCCCACGAGTTCTTGTATTGTGAGAAAGGGAGAAAAGTACCTCTTTCTCTACCTGCTCTTTCCCATGCATAATCTTATAAACCTCGATCATGTCACCCCTCAGTCGTCGTTTCTCCAAGCTAAAGAGCCCTAAGCGCTTTAACCTTTCCTCATAGGGAAAGTGTTCCAACCCTTTTATCATTCGAGTTGCCCTTCTCTGCACTTTTTCCAAAGCTAGAATATCCTTTTTAAGGTGTGGTGACCTTAAATAATTAGCCCCTGTTTTGCTCCAGCTAGCTGACAGACTGGCCTTTGAATTTTATGCTTTCCACAGCAATGCTAAAGATTGAGGGGTGTGGCCTGAACACCAGCAAAGAGAAACAAGATAAGGGGTTCATTTTACAGAGGGTTTAAATCAGGGGTCATTTCATAGAAAAAGAGGTGCAGGCGCTCATTAGCATAACTCATTAGCATAACTTATTTGCATATGCCACACCCCCTGACATCACCGGAAGCGTGTCAGAAGGCAACACCCACCGCTCAGGCTCCACTGGACTGTTTTGTATTGCTAGCGATTGGGAGGGGGGGAACATGCAGATCTGTCCTTGCAGAGGAGGGAGAGCTTGTACCTGAATAAAACTTGGTCTTAAAGGTGCCACTGGACTTTTTTGGAATGCTAGCTATGGGGGGGGGGAATGCGCAGATCTGCCCTCACAGAGGAGGGAGGGCTTGTACCTAAAGGGGGGTGGGCTCTGCAACTTACCTGGCTGCTTCTTGCTCCTCGCGGCCTGACTGAGGGCTGCTGGGAGCAGGGGGCGGGGCTTGTTGCATGTGCCTGCCCCCTGGGCTCCTTACTGCCTGAGCTCTGCTCCTGTGCGCTCCTGCAGGAAATGACCCCTGGTTTAAATTATCTGGCTTTAACAAGATTGAACAAAGGGAATTCCTTCTCTGTCGTCCTCTCTGGGATGAAATACTACTATGAGCATAGATCCAGGTGGGTAGCCGTGTCGATCTGAAGCAGTAGTACAAAATTAGAGTCCAGTGACACCTTTAAGACCAACAAAGGTTTATTCAAGGTATGAGCTTTCATGTGCAAGGCACACTTTAAAAAAAAAAAAATACAGTGGAATGGGATGTAAGAATCAAACCTCAAATTTCCCTGTCTATAAGTTTGAACCTTATACACCATTCTAATGTATTTTGAAAAAAGTGTGCTTTGCACACAAAAGCTCATACCTTGAATAAACCTTTGTTGGTCTTAAAGGTGCCACTGGACTCTAAGTTTGTACTACCATGAGCATGTATGGCAGCACAACTGTTTCTGCTCCAGCATAGTGTTGTTGGCGAACTAGGCCCCTCACGTGGGACTTTTCCCCATATTGTATCAGTTAAAGTTTTCCATCAAAACCCAGTGTCCTTTCTAGACTAGTGGATATAGCTAATAAAAAAGGTATTGAAAGCAAAATTGATCTTGAGAGGAAAGTCGGCTCTCAAATACCGTGGTTTTTTTATTTGCAACTGAGTCACCTACTTAACAAATTGAATGTAAAAGCGGTAATGACACAACCTCAAACAGAGATGGAAATACTGTTACGTGATTCTAATACAAAAAACAAAGGCCTCATTTCCAGACTATATCTTTTATTAATTAAAAAATCAGGTTCCAATCGATTATTATATCAGAACTCATGGCAAAAGGATATTTCGGTAAATTTTACAGATGAGATGTGGGAGAAACTATGGAATTCCTCTAGCACCAGAACCAAAGTAATATCTATTAGGTTACAGAACTTAAAGATAATGTCGAGATGGTATATAACACCACTAAAGTTATCTCAGATTACATCGACCCAATCTCCAATGTGCTGGAAAGATTGTAACCAAATTGGAAATTATGCTCAATGTTGGTGGAAATGTATTAAAATTAGGAAATTTTGGGTAGAAAGTCTGTCCTTAATTCAAGAGGTAACATCTGTACGTATTCCACTAAGCCCGGAAGTACTGTTTCTAAACACTTGACCTAAAGAGCTAGAGAGCAGGCCACATAAACTCACGGTTGATATGATGCTTGATGCAGCAAAAACAGCAATTGCTTCTTTTTGGAAGGAGAAAACAGCGCCCACAATAGAAGTATGGTACAAAAAATTATGGAGTCACTATTTAATGGATGTGCTCACCAACAAATTAAATTATTTGTTGCATAATCCCACAAAAACCAATTTTACAGAAAAATGGTTCCCAGTACTTGATTACTTGTCTCTCAAACAGTTCATTTCACCCGAATGGTCTCAATACCATAATTGGATATAACAACAATAGTTCTTGAAGTTCATAGAAACTTGCTCTTGTCGTTGTCTATCTTCTTCAGTTTTGTTATAGTTTTTTCTTCTCTTATGCATATTGTTTAGGGTTACGTTACATTGGTTATTGGAGGATGTTACAAGGTTGTCTTTTCTATCATAAAAGAAGCTACAATTATTTACACAGTACCCACACTGTAGTATATAGGTATAAGGCAAATATAAGATTTGTTGTAAAGTAAAACAATGTAACTCATTCAACTTGTTATTTTATTGTTAAAACAAGGAGGGATATGTTATTATGGTAATAATATGTATGCTTTAGTGTTTAAAATAAAAAATTTAATTAAAAAAAACCCCAGTGTCCTTTGACTGCATCCTTCGTGAAGTGCTATGTTAGCTGTATATTACCTATTTATCTTTTTTTTTTGCACAATAGGTTGCTACCCTCGATGTCCTCCAGAGACACCTATCTTCAATGAAGAGACCTTCAACTGTACAACCGCAGAGTTTTGTGACTGCTATGTTGAGGGCAAACCCTATCCACCTGGCAGTCGAGTACCCACAGATCAGCTGTGTGGGGAATGGTAAGTGAGAACGCGGTGCCTATGGAGTCAGAGCCAACCTAAACCGAACAGTGGCCACAGGTTCCTCCCATAGCAACTTATGCCATTTTAGAAGCAGTTGTAGTTCTTTAAAAAATCACTGTGAGGCCCCGATCCAGATTCCATGTGCAGCAGTCCCAGGAGCTCTTACTATCCCTCCCTACACCTTTTTCAGATGCAGAACCCCATGGTTGTTTTGGCATTTGAAGAGGCATGTGGTGGGGAACGAGAGCTCCTTGGACCGCCACACCATGTGGCCAATCTAGAACCACAACTTTCCGAAATGGCATCAGAGGCTACAAGATGAACCCATGGCTGCTGTCATATTTAGTTTGGCTCTAACAATGGCAGAAAAGTACTTGTGCCTTTGTTGATACTTAAACACTGTTGGCCAGGGCTTTTTTTTTGGTAGAAAAAGCCCAGCAGGAGCTCATTAGCATATTAAGCCACACCCCTGACAGCACAAAACATTAGCATATTAGGCTACACCCCATGCTTTCCCTTGGCTTGCAGGGAGCCTGGGTAAAGCCAGCCCTTGGAGGGGAGGGGAGGGAGTTTAAACTTGGACAGGCTGGGGAAGACACGTGGAGGTATTTAGATTCCTTCCTGATCCTTCCAGGGCCCCCCCCGGCCAACTTGGAAGCCAGCCGGAACTCCGTTCCTGAGCGTTCCTGCCCTAAAATAGCCCTGCTGTTGGCCTATAGGCCCGTTACTAGTCCTGTTCTGGAACAGGAATGCTTTTAAGTACTGAAGATTAATTTAAAGCTGATTTTTCCCCCACTGACCTGTAGCTTTAACTTAATTTCTCCCCTATAAAAATTTCACATAGGTATTTTGCTTTATTCATCATGGTTATTTTTTCTAAGTGTCCATACATTATATATTTATATCACGATTCTTTACAACAAACAGCCTGGTATTATTAACACTTCCTCTCTCTCTGTTTCTCTGTCACTCAATTTTTTTGTTTGTGTGTGTGTATGGCCATCCTGCAAGTTCATTATATTAAGTGTTATTTTTAACAGTTAATAATAAGCCGTAGCATTTTCTGATTGCATATACTTATGCTTGGATCTGTTTTTAGTAAATTAGTATTTTGCTTTATTCATCATGGTTATTTTTTCTAAGTGTCCATACATTATATATTTATATCACGATTCTTTACAACAAACAGCCTGGTATTATTAACACTTCCTCTCTCTCTGTTTCTCTGTCACTCAATTTTTTTGTTTGTGTGTGTGTATGGCCATCCTGCAAGTTCATTATATTAAGTGTTATTTTTAACAGTTAATAATAAGCCGTAGCATTTTCTGATTGCATATACTTATGCTTGGATCTGTTTTTAGTAAATTATTATATTGTATGATTGATTCTCTTATTAAGCTAATTTTATTTTATTTATTACTTATTTATATTATATTATATAGATTATGCTTTTAATTATTACTTTGAATTGTTTGACAGTTTTAAATATTTTAATATTGTAAGAAGCTGCAACCGCCACTGGTGGCTGAACATTCGATACAAACCAATCAATCAAATAACTATCTTCAAACATTTCATTCTGAGTGCTTCTGTTTTGTTTTATTTTTAATTTCAGTATCTGCCTCCACGCGGGAAATGTGAGCTGTGGCCGTAGACCAGGTATATTTCATGTCAAAGAATCAAGATGGGTAGCTGCGTTAGTCTGTCTGTAGCAGTAGAAAAGACTAACAAAATTTGTGGCAGGGTAGGAGCTTTTGTGAATCACTGCTCCTGAAAGCTTATCCTCTGCCACATATTTTGTTAGTCTTTAAGGTGCTACTGGACTCTTGCTCTTTTCTACTTCATACAAAAAACAACCACCAAAAAAACAGTAGAGTGCCTATAGTTTCCCATATGTTTGTCCTGGGAATCATAGAGTCATAGATGTTGTGTAATCATTTGCGCCAACACTCCCTCTAAGCTGTGGAGTCTTGTGAGCAAAAATTATACTTTGAGAGCTACTGGCATGAAAGCTGTGAGCGAGCCATTTGGCTAGCGCATAGATTAGTTTGCTCCGGAGGCCAGCCTTCCTGAGCTAAGATGAAAATGTGTGAGCCGGAGGTTAAAAAACTGTGAGCTAGCTCGCACTAACTCAGCTTAGAGGGAACACTGATTTGCGCTAGCTGAAGGACCAGTTGAATGTGATGGATTTTTTTCTTAGCAGTGTCCCTCTACTACACGGGTGGCCAAACTGTGGCACGGGAGCTGCACGCGGCTCTTTCACACATACTGTGTGGCTCCCGGCAGGGCGGCTGGGGAAGCGAAGGGGAGGCATGACTCCCCAATCGGTCTTCCCTTCCCAGCCAGTGTTCCCCTCCCCAGGTAGGCTTGAGGTGGGGGAGCAGACAAAGAAAGCAGCTTTAACTTTAAATGTGTTCACAGTTTAAATCTCATTCACAGTTATCAGTTACAGCATGGGACATGCTTCGCTGTAGAAAAATCCCAAATTACAAAGGACAGATGTTGAATACAGAAACTGTCAGGCGGTGCCATTCATACGAATCTCCTTCTATCCTGATAGTGAATACGGCATAGGTTCATGTACTTCCTAGATTCATTTAACATTCTTAACATTTGATCCTAAGCATGCTTACTTAGGACTTACTTCCAAGTAGCCTGTGGCAGTATCCCACATATCAGCAAAGTGAATAAAAAGTGTTTACTTAGGGTTAAATCTTGGATTATTGGATTGTTTTATTTACACTTTGATATTTAGATGATTTTTTCATTGGATTATTTTATTTACATTTTGATCTTTTTTCATTCTGGGGTATTCTTTAAGGAGAGCAATTTAAAATATTGGTTTCCTTCTTGCAGACTGTTGCGTTTATAATGGCACAGAGTATGGTAAAGGAGACAGCGTTGTTGTGGAAAATGGAGCGCTCTGTTACAACTTAACATGTGAAAATGACACAATGGTGCCTTCGAATCCATTCCCCTGTGTACCAGTTTCAACTACAGTTCCCACAACTACCACTACAGTGATCCCTTCGTCTACTAGTACAGGTAAGCTTGGAATGTTAATGCACATTTGTTAATTACCTCCTTGGATAAAGTTGTTTTTATATAAAATATATTTCATGTCTACAAGTCTAGCTATACTACTTTGACGTGTGAAATTAACAAACAATGAAGATGATGCTCTAACATGATGTGAATCCTTCCACAATGCTAAATCTATAATCTTCTCCAGAATTATCAAGACTGCACATTAATATGTGTCTTTTTTTCCTGTTTCAGCCTCTACCACAACCACAACCTCAACCTCAACCTCAATATCTTCAACAAGTAAGTCATAATCAGGACACTGAGGTCTGCTCTCAGCTCAGTGATAGGGTACTTGCTATGTGAATATAAGATCTCCGGTCATATGGCAGGGGGCAGGAATCTGTGTGTAGAGATCCTGTAGAGCTTTAAGTAGATAACAATGGACTAGCTACATCAGTGGTCTGTCTCAGTATAAAGCAACTTCATATGTTCACTGCTCTAACACAGGGGCAATAAAGTTGCAAGATCAAAGGGATAAAATATAAAGATAGACATAAATTCATGAGTAAGAGAATAATTATTTGAAACTAAGGAAAATAAAGTGAGATCTTATGTACCAGGCCTGTTGCATGAGCAAAAAGTGCTTGGTTAAAATATACTCTTTCACAATATACTTTGCTTGCAGTCACATGCAATGTTACCTCTAAGCTGTGGAGTCTTGTGAGCAAAAATTCTACTTTTTGAGTTACTGGCATTAAAGTTGTGAGCGAGCGATTTGGCTGCTGCCTAAATTACTTTGCTCTGGAGCCATCCCTTCCTGAGCTAAGACAAAAATGTGTGAGTCGGAGGCTACAAAACTGTGAGCTAGCTCACACTAACTCAGCTTAGAGGGAACACTGGTCACATGTGTGAGATAATGCGGGAGAGGGGGAAGCGAGGCTCTTTACCACGGAGGAAATTGACCCGCAGTTGTGCGATCACAGTTCTTTGAAGCTGCGGTCACAGCCCCCCACTGAGTGATCAGACGCAACCGCAGGTGATTCGGGGTTGTTGTTCTGTTTTTTTTGCCATTTGTTTCCGATCCGCTTAAACAGGGGATCGATGGATCGCATGTCCACACTAGGGGCTTCCTATGGCAGTATGCGATGAGGCGCATACTGAGAAGGAGAAAGAAAAAAAAAGAATGGCACGGAATCTGGATGGCCTGATCAGACCAACCCGACGCCATGAGAGCGCGCTGGAGTGATCACATGGGAAAAGTCCGCCTGTGGTCCCTGGCAAACCCGTTTGCTACTGCACTTTCCCAGGTGCCTTTTAACTCCATTTCTGCGGTGGAGAAAAATGGGTTGCCAACGGGTGTGGGGCACTCGGCAGATGTTCTCATGTGATCGCACCCTTAAAATCAGGCCGGCATTCACGCCTATGGCGTGGCTAATTCTGCATGTGATCACGACCTCTGGGACTTTTTAAATGAGATCAATGGAAGTACAGGAAGATGACTGCTCACTAATCCACTGTCCCCATGGTACCTTCTTTGCCCTGAGAAAATAACAGTTGCATATTCCAACACTACCAGAAAGTGTACTCTTTCCTAAGAATGTAAGTGCCCTACCAGATCAGTTCAAGGGGTCCATCTAGCCTTTGATGTATTCCTAAAATTTTTTTTTCAAATAACAATTTTATTTTATTTTAACACAATAAAAATACAATATTACATGCTTCAGTCAAGGAAGAAATATGGTGTATATGAACAAACAATAGAACTTACATGAAAATGAAGTGGACTACATATGGTGAAAAACATCAAAATATTTCTCAGGAACAGTAAAGTTAGTGGATTCTGAATTAAACATATATTCTAGAAAAGGAAACCATTTCAAGTGAAGGTTAGGTTTTGGATATATGGTATTGGAGTTAACAGCTGCATCTGAAATTTTATCCATAGCATAATATTCCAAAATTTTCAATCTCCAAGAGGATAATAACAAACTATTTGAAGACTTCCAACTATTAGCTATAACAACCTTATCTCTTACATGCCAATAAAGGTTGTCTGTCTGTCTGTCTGTCTGTCTGTCATCTAGCCCACTGTCCTTCTGCCAACAATGGTCAGTCAGATTTTCCAGAGGGGGCATGTAGACAGTACACAAAAGACACGAAGGAAGCACTGCTCTTTGGCATTGCTTGCCCTCTACCAACTGTTATTCAGAGATCTACTGCCTTTGAATATAAAGGTCCCACTTGGCTACCATAGCTATGAGCTATTTTTAGATCTACCTTTGTATGAATTTGTCTTACCCTGTTCCTACTCGGTAGCAACTTTCTACCACTGTCACAAGGCTCCTCTGTTTTCATAATCAGAGACTGGAATATATTTTGCATCTGCATTTGGCAGCAGGGGTATTTCTAGGGGAGGGGGTGATTGTATCGTTATTGTCACCATAGTCACAGCTGGGCTGACTTCATGTGTGCTAGATTTGGCACCCTTGAACTCTGATACCGAAAGTGGCAGCTCTGCTCTTCCTTTCCACAAAGACTATACTGGCCCTGTCAAACTGGCTGCAACGATAACTTTCAAAAAGCAAAGAATGGCGAAGCTACAAGGCTGCATGTTCCCTTTTCATAAGCTGAAATAGGAGGACATGGGGCTTTTTTTGTAGAAAAAGCCCAGCAGGAACTCATTAGCATAATTGGCCACACCCAACATCAGAAACACATTAGCATATTAGGCCACACCCCTGACAGCACAGCTCATTAGCATATGAGGCCACACCCCCTGTGTTACCAGAAGTGTGCTCATCCAGCCACACCCACCTTTTGCTTCTTATTCTGTTTACCTTGTTTCTTGTCCAAACCCAGGGCTTTTTTTGTAGCAAGAACTCCTTTGCATGTTAGGCCACACACCCCTAATGTAGCCAATCCTAATGAGTTCCTGTTGTTGGGTGTGGCCTATTATGATAATGAGTTCCTGCTGGGCGTAGTCAACTCAGGAGCCAGCTGGAACTCCGTTCCTGTGTGTTCCTGCCCAAAAATAGCCCTGGGAGGATATATTTTATTTCTTATAAAAAGGGCAGAAGATAATCAGCATGAATGTTGGGCACTTCACATCACAAGCCAGTTTGACCAATCACAAATTCATAGTTATGATTACAATATATGATGACCTACAATATTACCATTGCATTGATAAGACAGACATTTATTGAATATGTGTCTTGATGACATGATTGAAAAGAGTTGCTTCATGAAGGAAAACTGCTCGAATTACTGTCTACTAAAGCTCAAGTAAATTACTTTCACATTTGTCTTACAGCGAATTGCTATGAAATCTGCCAGTGGAGTCAATGGTATGACGTTAGCAAACCCAAAGACGAGCCAGGTGGCGGAGACTATGAGACTTATGAAAACATAAGAAAGAAATATGGAGACAGTTTTTGTTCAGCCCCTCAAAATATAGAGTGCAGGGCTACAAATTCGCCTGACCAAAGTCTGGAAGAACTGGGACAGAAAGTGAAATGTAATGTTACTTATGGGCTCGTTTGTAGAAATGAAGACCAGGATAAGAGCCTCTGGGACCTTTGCTATAACTATGAGATAAGAGTCAACTGTTGTTCTATATATTGTGGTCCCCCAACAACCACTACAATCACAACTACCAAGCTGCCTACCACTACAACCACACCAAGTACCACTACACCAACTACTACTTCTACTCCTACTCCTACTCCTACAACTACTACCCAATCCACTTCAGGTAACGGACAGATTATTGCTTCCCGATACTGCTTTGTGTGAATGAACCAATCGCTTAGAACAGCGAAATAGACGATATGTTAAGATTGTGTAATGCACGTCATCGTTCTACAGAAACGATGTTACAAAGTGATGAAGAGAACGTTGCCTTTTGAAATCTCATGACCTGGAAATCTTGTCTGTCTTTAAGGTGCTACTGGACTTGAATTCCCTAGTGCTGACCAACAGTGGTACCCACCTGAAATGATATTACTAAATGATACATTTCAGTTATACATACAGTGGCTTGCGACTATGTGGAGAAGCCTGGAGGATCTTCGGGATTGTTCATGTCCTTTCCCTTTGACATGCCTCCATCTACCAAGTTCTCTCTGCTTTTGCGGGCAAGCTATAGTTTACTGTTTAATCGAGACCAATGTTCCCTCTAAGCTGTGGAGTCTTGTGAGCAAAAATTCCACTTTGTGAGCTACTGGCATTAAAGTTGTGAGCGATCGATTCGGCGGCTGCATAAATGAGTTTGCTCTGGAGCCCCACCCTTCCTGAGCTAAGGCAAAAATGTGTGAGCCGGAGGCTAAAAAACTGTGAGCTAGCTCACAGGAACTCAGCTTAGAGGGAATACTGATCTAGACTGGCAATTGTTTCCTCCAAACCAAGATTTCAAAGCAGGATCAAGACACGTTTTGGAATCCTGCTTTGCATAGAAAGCACAAGCAATGGTAGGATAGATAAAGATACAATAGATATGGTAGGGGATATAAAGACTCCGAGATCTCCATTTCTACTCACGTCTAACAAAGGGAGCTTTGACTCTTAAACGTTCATACCCTAAAAATCTTCTTGGTCTCTAAGGGGCTATTCCAATCAATCTAACTGTTCTACTGAAGACCAAAATGGCTGCCCTCTGAGATTAAGCCATGGTAGGTCATTTCAGATGGCTTGCCATAGATAATTGGGTGAAACAGCATGCTTGTGTGGCGGAGCCAGTTTGGTGTAGTGGTTAAGTGTGTGGACTCTAACCTGGGAGAACTGGGTTTGATTCCCCACTTGCAACTGGCTGGGTGACCTTGGGCAAGCCGTCGTTCTGGCACAGCTGTTCTTGAGAAAGAGCATTTTCTGTCAGAGCTCTCTCAGCCCCACCTACCTCCCAGGGTGTCTGTTGTGGGGAGGGGAAGGGAAAGGAGTTTGTAAGCCGCTCTGAGACTCCTTTGGGTAGTGAAGGGTGGGGTATAAATCCAATCTCTTCTTCTTTTACCTCACAGGGTGTCTGTTGTGGGGAGGGGAAGGGAAAGGAGTTTGTAAGCCGCTCTGAGACTCCTTTGGGTGGTGAAGGACGGGGTAGAAATCCAATCTCTTCTTCTTCTGCTGCTTGGCTAGATGCACCACTGGTCCAGTCCAGCAAAGATCTCCTTATCTTCTTATGTCAAAAAAATGGAAATAACCCATTGGTGGGCTATGTGTATGGGAAGAAAGTATATGCTTGATTACACACACATACCCAAACATGGATTTTTCCATAGCAGCAAATTATAGTTTGTCATTCTGTATAAACTAAGACTTCGGAAGGCACAGAATCATTGCCACACATTTATTTTACCTAAATAAAGCATGGGTTTTATTTATAATTATCCCCCCTGGCTGATGAATTTAGGTTGTTTATTTATATTTAGTAGTCAAAAATGATGTTGTCTAACTGTTTTACTGGGGTAATGGTTTACAGCTTAAAACACTGTAACGCAAATGATCCCGGTAAACACTTCGAGAACAACTGTACTTTCCCGGCCAACACAGCAGATCTGTCCATGCAAGTGTGTGTCTTCTTTAGACTGAGAAAGTTCATCTTTATAGAAAATGCATTATAGAAGCCAGCCCCTCAAAATAGCGCATTGTTAGGATTTAACACCAACTCTCAAAGAAGTAAAATATTTTACCTTTGACTGAAGTCATGAATGTGAATTTAACCTGCAATATAATCTGTTTGCAATCTGATGTATAGTTTCACTGATATTTCTTTTTTCTTTTTCTACTATGCCATCTACCACAACCACCCCCCAGGAGAAACAAGCCCTACTACCTCCCTGTCTCCCACAACCACAACCACCACTCCAACGCCAACCCCAACCACTCCAACGCCAACCACCACCACCACCCCAGAAACACCAACTAGTACCACCACCTCACCATCAACCACAACGACCACCTCAACTCCAACACCAAGCACTACTTCCACCACTTCAGGATCAACCACAGGTAACAATTTTGGAATAGTATCCGGACCTTATTGTACTGTACTCTGTGTTCTAATGTTGAACTTGTAAGTGCACAAACAACACACTTACTGTTGAGCAGCTGGAGAAGGGCCCGGCACTTGCAGTGGCAGTGGCTGCAGTGGCAGTAGAGCTTGGAATCCACCGGCAGGCCCGGCCTTGGCAGTAGGAGCAACCAGCAGGCCTGGCCATGAGCTGCGGTAGAGTACAGTAGAGTATTCCACCACCATTCCTTTTTATTTCTAATTCCAAGGCTACAGCATGCTTGGCTAGATGTACTACTTGGTGAAACAGTTTCCTTGGCTAGGTGTACCAATGGTCCAGTCCTGCAAAGATCTCCTTATCATCTGATGTCAAGAAAATGGAAATAATCCATTGGTGGGCTATGTGTATGGGAAGAAAGTATATGCTTGATTGCTCACACACACACAGGTTCTTTTTCCACAGTAGCAAATTATGGTTTGTCATTCTATATAAACGAAGGCTTAGGAAGGCACAGAATCATTGCCACACATTTGTCTTACCTAAATTAATCATGGGTCTTATTTCTAATTACACCCCCCACCCGGCTGCTGAATGTAGGTTGTTTATTTATATTTAGTAGCCAATAATGATGTTGTCTCACTGTTTTACTGGGGTAATGGCTTACATCTTAAAAGACTGTGTAATGCAAATGATCCCAGCAAACACTTTGAGAACAGCTGTACTGTCCCGGCCAACACAGCAGATTTGTCCATGCAAGTGTGTGCCTTCATAAGACTGAGAAAGTTCATCTTTACCAGAAATGCATTGGAGAATCCAGCCCCCCAAAGTATCACATTGTTTGGATTTAACACCAACGGTCAAAGAAGTAAAATATTCTAGCTTCGATTGAAGTCATGAATGTGAATTTAACCTGCAATAATATAATCTATTTGCAATCTGATGGATAGTTTCACTGATATTTCTTTTTTTCATTTCCTACATGATTTTCTTCACCAATGACAACAGAATCATTGGAATCATTGGAATGAAGCACCCACCCAGTTCCCGTAATATATGTTTCCCAGTGTCAACGTGAATTGCCATATACCTGTTGTAATATACTTCTCTGTCTCTGTTTTCTTGCAGCACCGTGTACTGAATTCTGTGAATGGTCCAAGTGGATAGATGTGAGTTACCCCCGTTATGGCCCAGAAAATGGTGATTATGAAACATACGACAACATCAGAGCCCACGGCATAGAGGTCTGCTCCAACCCTCTGAATATATCCTGCCGAGCAGTGAAATACCCTGGGCTCTCCTTCCAAGAGTTGGGCCAAAAAGTGAAATGTGATGTTTCAACTGGGCTTGTCTGTCACAATAAAGAACAGGTTCCAGGGCCTGTGATGCCTGCTGATGCCTGTCTCAACTATGAGATCAGCATATACTGCTGTAGTATTATATGTGCAACAACACCTATTAGTACTACTACGCCATCTACCACAACCACTCCAGAAACAACAACTAGTACCACCACAACGACCACCTCAACTCCAACACCAAGCACTCCTTCCACCACTTCGGGACCAACCACAGGTAACAATTTTGGAATAGTATCCGGACCTTATTGTACTGTACTCTGTGTTCTAATGTTGAACTTGTAAGTGCACAAACAACACACTTACTGTTGAGCAGCTGGAGACGGGCCCGGCGCTGGCAGTGGCAGTGGCTGCAGTGGCAGCAGAGCCTGGAATCCGCCAGCAGGCATGACCTTGGCAGTAGGAGCAACCAGCAGGCCTGGCCATGGCTGTGGTAGAGCCCGAGAGTCTCTCCGATCCCGGTTGCAGTGGCAGAGACTGGAGGCTGATCCAGGCTCAGCCATGGAGGTGGTGGAGTCCAAGAGCTGCCAGCTGGGCTGTGGTGGAGCCCAGGAGCCACTCCCATGCTCGCCGTGGTGGTGGAGCTTGGGAGCTGCTCCAAGCCCACTCCAGTCCCGCCTGCAGCAGCAGAGCCCAGCATCCCCTCGGGGCTTGGAGGAGCTCCCAGACACTGAGGGCGATTTCTCACTAGAGCTGCCTCGCAGCACAGTGCCGTTTGCCTCGACACAAACATGTCAATTTCACACCCGAGGCTGCGGGGCTGCATTTGACTCGGGGCTTCGCCCGATTTCCTCCGCAGTTTTATGGTCCTCAAAAACCAGGATCACGAAACTGTGGAGGAAATCGGGTGAAGCCCCGAGTCAAAATGCAGCCCCGGAGCTTCGGGTGTGAAATTGACATGTTTGTGTCGAGGCAAACGGCGCTGTGCTGCGAGGCAGCTCTAGTGAGAAATCGCCCTGAGTTTTGCATGCCTGAAGTTCGAACTGAAGTTCGGATCCCCATCTTGCTGTGGAAGCTCACTGGATGATTATGGACCAGTCACATACTTTCAGCCAAACCTACCCCACATGGGTGTTGTGTGGATGAAAAGGAAAAGAGGAGAATAATGTAAGCGGCTTTGATCCGCCACTATGAAGAAAGAAGAGAGAAGAAGATTAGATAGACAGATTAGCAAGATAGCTAGATGGTAGCTAGCTGGATAGCTAGCTAGATGGATAGATCACGTTGAATTTGAGAGACATATAAAAGGTAGGAAAAATCAAAGGCATAATTACAGGATGGGGGAGACTTGTCTTGGCAGTAGTATGTGCATAAAGGATCTAGCGGTCTCAGTAGACTGTACACTGAGCATGAGTCAGCAGTGTGATGCGGTAGCTAAAAGGCAAATGCGATTTTGGGCTCTATCAACAGAAGTATAGTGTCCAGATCATGCGGAGTTATGGTATTGCTTTACTCTGCTCTAGTTAGACCTCACCTAGAGTATTGTGTTCAGTTTGGGCACCACCATTTAAGAAGGATCTAAAGCTGGAATGTATCCAGAGGAGGGCAACAAAGATGGTGAGGGGTTGGGAGACCATGCCCTTTGAGGAAAGGTTGAAGGAGCTGGGTATGTTTAGCCTGGAGAGGAGATGACTGAGAGCTGTTATGATAACCATATTCAAGTACTTGAAGGGCTGTCATATAGAGAAGGGTATGGAGATGTTTTCTGTTGCCCCTGAAGGTCGGACCAGAACCAACAGGTTGAAATTACATCAGAAGAGTTTTCGGCTAAAGATTAGGAAGAACGTCCTGACAGTTAGAGTGGTTCCTCAGTGGAACAGGCTTCCTCGGGAGGTGGTGGGTTCTCCTTCTTTGGAGGTTTTCAAACAGAGGCTAGATGGCCGTCTGACAGCAATGAAGGTTCTCTGAACTTAGGCAGATCATGAGAGGGAGGGCAGGAAGGGTTGTATCAGTGCTTAGTTCTTGTGGCCCTTTCTTACACGCCCAGGGAAATGCTGATCACCACTTTGGGGTCAAGAAGCAATTTCCCTCCAGGCCAGTTTGCCTGGAGATCCTGGAGATTTCTTGTCATCTTCTGGGTGTGGAACAGCGTTCACTGGTGGTGTGTGGGGAGGAGGTATTTGTGGATTTCCGGCATTGCACAGGTGGTTGGACTAGATGACCCTGGAGGTCCCTTCCTACTCTATGATTCTATGGTGAATGGCTGAGAAGGAAAGAGAAAGAGACAGGGAAAGGGGAGAGGATATGGGATTGCCAGGAGGAAGAAGAAGTAGAAGAAGAGATTGGATTTATATCCCACCCTTCACTCGGAGTCTCAGAGTGGTTTACAAACTCCTTTCCTTCCCCCCCCCCACAACAGACACCCTAAGAGGTAGGTGGGGCTGAGACAGCTCTTTCGAGAACTGCTCTTTCAAGCACAGATCTGACAGACCTATGGCTTGCCCAAGGTCATCCAGTAGCTACAAATGGAGAACTGGGGAAATCAAACCTGGTTCTCCCAGATTACAGTCCACGTACTTACCCACTACAACAAACTGGGAAAAAGTAGATACTGGGGACTGGGGGGGGGGGGGGACAGAGGAAAGTGAGGTGCCATCCCACAAGTTCTTGAGGGTTCCCTACAATGCAAGTGGGCCTGGCCCAGTGGCCAGCACTACACAACTGGGCCACAGTTTTCCATGGCTACAGCATGCTTGGCTAGATGTACTACTTGGTGAAACAGTATCCTTGGCTAGGTGTACCATTGGTCCAGTCCAGCAAAGATCTCCTTATTATCTGATGTCAAGGAAATGGAAATAGTCCATTGGTGGGCTATGTGTATGGGAAGAAAGTATATGTTTGACTACACACACACAAACACACACACACACAGACACACAGAGGTTTTTTTTCCACAGTAGCAAACTATGGTATGTCATTCTATATAAACTAAGGCGTAGGAAGGTGCAGAATCATTCCCACATGTTTGTTTTACCTAAATTAATCATGGGTTTTATTTCTAATTCCACACACACACACCCGGCTGCTGAATATAGGTTGTTTATTTATATTTAGTAGCCAATAATGATGTATTCTAACTGTTTTACTGGGGTAATGGCTGACATCTTAAAACACTCTGTAATGCAAATGATCCCAGCAAACACTTTGAGAACAGCTCTACTATCCCGGCCAACACAGCAGCTTTGTCCGTGCAGGTGTGTGCCTTCATAAGACTGAGAATGTTCATCTTTACCAGAAATGCACTGTAGAAGCCAGCCCCCCCCAAAGTATCACATTGTTGGGATTTAACACCAACTCTCAAAGAAGTAACATATTCTAGCTTCGATTGAAGTCATGAATGTGAATTTAACCTGCAATAATATAATCTGTTTGCAATCTGATGGATAGTTTTACTAATATTTCTTTTTTCTTTTCCTACATGGTTTTCTTCACCAATGACAACAGTTACCCCAAGTAAGTTCAAGTGCAAGAGATCTATTATAGCCTCAGACATGTTATTTCTTTGCTTGTTAGAACACATACAATATAATCATGGAGAGAGTAGACTATGGGGATCGTAGTTAGTTTGGACCTGGTGTCTTGCTTTGTCTTTCACTCTTTTGTCTTTCATGACATTGTCAGAAATATGAACAATTCCCTCGCTCATCATCATAACTCTGCAAGCTAGGAGAAGTGTGTCAGAATAGCTGTGTTTGGCATATTCATGCTGTACCAATTCACTGGAAATTATCTATACTGTAGATATCTGTAGATGAACCTGTGTACCATATAGATGTACCTGGTCTTCACTTCACACACCTGATAAAGCCGGTGTTTGCCTGCACGTGCCATAAGAACCCAAGAAGTTCCTAAGATGCTACTGATAAGGGTTTGCTGTTTATGACTCCGGTTGCAAAACCAGTAAAGACAATGAAATTTCACATTCCCCAGTTTCACCCAGTTTCAAGCCGATAATGATCCGTTTTGAAGTGAACTGGTACAGGGCTGCCATTTCACACAAGGCTTTCCCATACCGGAAATGAGCCAGATCAGAAGCGGTTTGCCATTTCAGACTGCACCGCTTTTTCCCTGCCATTTTTCGCCCGTGCGGGAGATCTCCGGCTTTTTTAAAAAAACATTCACTTTATAGCGCTATAGCACTATAGCATTATAACAAAACACTCCAGGCATTCCAAAGGGGTTGATATAACGCTATTCCGTTATAGCGCTATAGCGCTATAAAGCAAACGTTAAAAAAAAAGCCGGAGATCGCCCGCGTGGGCAAAAAACGGTGGGAAAAAGCGCATTAGAACCGGGAGAGGGAACTGAAGACTACTTGGAAGTGGTTGAAAGGTAAAACGCTTCAGTCCCATTTCCTAAATGGGACAGAAGCGTTTGTGTATGAAATGGCAAATATATTCCGGAAGGGAACCGGTTCTCAAACGGGTTCTGTCTGAAATGACAGACCAGAAACTGTTTGGGAACCATTCCTCTTCCGGAATATATCATCTGTCTGAAATTCCCCAATAAATAAAGATGCTACAGAACATTTATTTAATATCACATATGGTGAAGCAAGAACTGAGAAAATGTAATAAGAATCTAATTAGATCAGACTTTTAAACGGTACTTTATTCAGGTATTATTCAAAAGAGGAGCTTATGTACTGCAGGACCTCTCACATTTTTGTGACAGTGATGAAACCTCCGGACTCGATTTTTTAAACAGAGGAGATGAAGGAGTGATGATGTCACAAACTAAAGAAACTAAATACATTCACTCGGCACCCCACTGAAGCTTCAAGAGAGTGAGAGTCCAAAGGCAGAAGGATTACTCAGTGAAAGGAGAACTCTGTGGCAGCAGACTAGAGAGAAAGGTCCTTAGGAGCCTAAGAAGAGGAGGAGGCCCAAGGGGGGAGGGAAATGTTTATTTTAAAAAACCACAATAGGGAATCTAAAGAAAAAAGGGAAGAGGACCCAAGAGAACGATGAAAGAGAGAAATACAGTGCATGCATGCAGGAAAAGAAGATAAAACAAAACGGACTGTGCCACGATTGAGATTGTCAGCCTCTAGTTAAAAATAACTGGGTTTTTTTTTTAATACCTACCATTTCAAAGGCATAAAGCATACTGGATAAACAAATAGACCATAATCTACAAATAAATTAAAATGGACATTCTTTTCTTCTGCTGAATAGAACTTGATCAGTCGTTTCCCAGGGAAAATATTTTAACAAGTACCAAAATAATAGATGCTGATTTTGCGGGGTAGGGTGGGGGGGGGAAATCGTTGGAATGAAGCACCCACCCAGTTCCCGTAATATATGTTTCCCAGTGTCAACGTGAATTGCCATATACCTGTTGTAATATACTTCTCTGTCTCTGTTTTCTTGCAGCAGTGTGTACTCCCAGTACTGAATTCTGTGAATGGTCCGAGTGGATAGATGTGAGTTACCCCCGTTATGGCCCAGAAAATGGTGATTATGAAACATACGACAACATCAGAGCCCACGGCATAGAGGTCTGCTCCAACCCTCTGAATATATCCTGCCGAGCAGTGAAATACCCTGGGCTCTCCTTCCAAGAGTTGGGCCAAAAAGTGAAATGTGATGTTTCAACTGGGCTTGTCTGTCACAATAAAGAACAGGTTCCAGGGCCTGTGATGCCTGCTGATGCCTGTCTCAACTATGAGATCAGCATATACTGCTGTAGTATTATATGTACAACAACACCTATTACTACTACTACGCCATCTACCACAGCCCCTACTAGCTCCCTGTCTACCACAACCTCCACTCCAACGCCAACCCCAACCACTCCAACGCCAACCACCACCACCACCCCAGAAACCTCAACTAGTACTATCACCTCACCATCTACCACAACGACCACCTCAACTCCAACACCAAGCACTATTTCCACTACTTCGGGATCAACCACAGGTAACAATTTTGGAATATTATTTGGACCTTACTGCACTATATTCTGTGTTTTAATGTTGAACGTAAGTGCACAAACGACACACTTACTGTTGAGCAGCTGCAGAAGGGCCCAGGACTTGCAGCAGCAGTCGTGGTAGCTGCGGTGGCAGCAGAACCTGGAATCCATTGGCAGGCCCAGCTTCGGCAGTGGGAGCCACCAGCAGGTCTGATCATGGTCATGGTAGAGTCTGGGAGTCAATCCGATCCCAGTTGCAGTGGCAGATACTGGGAGCCGATCCAGGCTCAATCCAGGCTCGACAATGGGGGTGGCGGAGTCCAAGAGCTGCCACCAGGCCTGGCTGCAGTGGAGTTTAGGCAGTGGTGGTAGAGCCTGGCACCAAGCCCAGCTATAGAAGTGGCAGAGCCTGGCAGCCACTCCAGGTCCGCCCACCGTAGCAGAGCCCAGCAGCCCCTCTGGGTTCGGAGGGGCTCCCAGACACTGAGTTTTGCAGGCCCACCCTTGTCTATCGACTGATAGGGTGGCCAAATTTCTGGATCCTTAAATCCGGTGACGGGAGCTGTGAACAGGCGAGGCAGAGTTTTTTTCCTGGAAATCTGGAAGAGTTTCCGTGTTTGCAGAAAAACGTGAAATTTAAAAACAAAAAATATTCAGGGGTTTAAAAAAGAACCCAAAATGATAAATGTTCCTGTTAACGTCAAGCAATGGATTCTCTCAGTGGCTGTTGCTAGGCAACCACAGTATTCCAGGCTGGGTTTATGTGAGTAAAAAGGCAGGATCTGAGGGCAGGGTTTTTTCCAGGCCTATTTTGGCCTTTTTGGGAGGACTCGTTGAGGCTGGGCCTGACTAGGGTTGGGGAGGGGTGAGGACTCAGCTGAATACAGAGTCTACCCTCCAAAGCAGTCATTTTTCCCATGTAGGGTTGACAGGTCCCCTAGGGGGTTGGAGGTTTACCCGCTCGATGGGTACCTTACCCGTCGTCCCGGATCAGGCCACCGGGGGGGACCCCACCCCCAAAGTGCCGGGATCACAGAGACATGTCTGGCGTGATGACGTCACCCAGAGGTGACGTCATCATGCCAGGCATACTGCAGGGGGACACTCCATCATTTGAAGGAAAACTCTATGGTTCCCCCTCGAATGATAGTGGTCCCACCTCCAACATGCCCGATGTGATGACGCATGCACTGAGGAACTCCCAGAGAAGGCCGGGACTCCCCCCGCTGCAGCCACAGGTATGACTTGGCAACCCTACTTCCATGGGGACAGATCTCTGTCATCTGGAGTTCAGTTGTAATTGTGGGGGATTTCCAGATCCCACCTGGAGGCTAGGAAGCCTAGGCCCGGGAGCAGCCTCTGGGTGATTTGATACCCCCAGACTTGCATGACACAGCTAGGCCTAGCTGCTTGCTACTGTTCAACCGCAGCCACCCTATGAAAGCCAGTTTGGTGTAGCAGTTAGAGCGTCAAAGCAGGTTCCAGGAGACCACGTTCGAATCCACATCTTGCTGTGGAAGCTCACTGGGTGATTATGGGCCAGTCCCATACTTTGAGCCAAACCTACCTCACAGGATTGTTGTGTGGATGAAAAGGAGAGTCGAAGAGTTTTAGTGCTGATGCTCTCTTGGTACCGATGTTGCATGTTTTCCCTACCTATGTCCTTATCTCAAGACTGTGTCTTAATTATTTTAAAGAAAATAATAATATATGCACAATATTTGCAGCTTGTTATGTATCCCCACACCTATCACTATGGTGCACAGTGTAAAGGAGGGAAAGGGAACTCTGAGCCTCTCCATGGGATTAGGAAGTAGCCGGCCTTGTGCCAAGACAGAAAAAGCAGTCTGGTTGCACAAAATCTGCTTACGTTACAAAAAAAAGAAAAGCAATGGAAGAAAAATCAGATAACAGCTGGAGACGAGGGACATCCAAAAGTAGTTATTTTTTACTGTAACTTCAGGCAGATGAGTGTTTCTGTGATTATCCTGTCGATAACAGTCAGACTACATTTCATTGCAAATACGTTAATTTGTAATGATAATATGAGCCTGTCATGACTATTATTTTATTTTCTACATTTCCAGCAGTGACAACTTCAAACACCACTGCATGTAAATAATTTCTCAGCAGAAACGCAGATGCATTTTTTAATTTGGTTGCAATATCTAAACCATCAGAATAAAATATTTTCACAGATCTCTTGGTATTCTTCTCAGCCCACGCTCACTTTAAAAAGAAAAACTTATTTTGGATCCTATCTCAATTTCCCGCTTGCTGGGGAAGGGGCAATATCTGCGGATCCTCCTGTCTGAGTGTAGCCCACCACTTATCCCCCATGTTCCTCCAGAAAGTTTAAAAGTTAGGTTGTTGTTGTTGTTGTTCAGTCGCACAGTCGAGTCCGACTCTTCGCGACCCCATGGACGAGCTCTCTCCAGGCCTTCCGGTCTTCTGCCGTCCTCTGAAGTTGGCTCAACTTCATGTTCGTTGCATCGATGACACTGTCTAACCATCTCATCCTTTGCCGTCCCCGTCTTCTTTGACCTTCAATCTTTCCAAGCATCAGGGTCTTCTCCAGTGAGTGCTCCCTTCTCATTTGGTGGCCAAAGTATTTGAGCTTCAGTTTCATTATCTGGCCTTCCAGGGAACAGTCAGGGTTGATTTCTTTGAGGATTGACTGATTTGTTCTTCTTGCAGTCCAAGGGACTCTCAAGAGTCTCCTCCAGCACCATAGTTCAAAAGAATCTATTCTTCGGCGCTCGGCCTTCCTTATAGTCCAGCTCTCGCAGCCATACATGACTACTGGGAATACCATTGCTTTGACCATGCGGACTTTTGTTGGCAGGGTGATGTCTCTACTTTTTATCATGCTGTTTAGGTTCGCCATCGCTTTCCTCCCAAGGAGCAGGCGTCTTTTAATTTCATGGCTGCAGTCACAGTCTGCGGTGATCTGGGATCCCAGGAACGTGAAGTCTGTCACTACTTCCACAGCTTCCCCTTCTATTTGCCAAGGAGTGATGGGGCCGGATGCCATGATCTTAGTTTTTTTGATGTTGAGCTTCAAGCCCACTTTTGCGCTCTCCTCTTTTACTCTGAGCAAGAGGTTCTTTAGATCCTCTTCACTTTCAGCCATTAGAGTGGTATCATCTGCATATCTGAGGTTGTTGATCTTTTCCCCAGCAATCTTAATTCCCGCTTGTGATTCATCCAGGCCAGCATTTCGCATGATGTACTCTGCATATATATTAAATAAGCAAGGTGACAGTATACATCCTTGTCGTACTCCTTTTCCTATGCTGAACCAATCAGTTGTTCCGTATCCGGTTCTAACTGTCGCTTCTTGGCCCTTATACAGGTTTCTCAAGAGACATGTGAGGTGGTCTGGTACTCCCATCTCTTTAAGGACCTGCCATAGTTTGTTGTGATCCACACAGTCAAAGGCTTTAGCATAGTCAATGAAGCAGAAGTAGATATTTTTCTGGTACTCTCTTGCTTTCTCCATAATCCAGCGAATGTTGGCAATATGATCTCTCGTTCCTCTACCTCTTCGAAACCCAGCTTGTACTTCTGGTAGTTCTCTATCCACGTACTGTTGAAGCCTAGCTTGTAGGATCTTGAGCATGACCTTGCTAGCGTGTGATATGAGTGCAATTGTGCGATAGTTTGAACATTCCTTGGCATTGCCCTTCTTTGGGATTGGAATGTATACTGATCTTTTCCAATCCTGTGGCCACTGTTGCGTTTTCCAAATTTGCTGGCAAATGGAGTGCAGAACTTTAACAGCATCCTCTTCTAAGACTTTGAATAGCTCAGCTGGGATACCATCACCTCCACTAGCTTTGTTGTTAGTAATGCTTTCTAAGGCCCATTTAACTTCACATTCCAGGATGTCTGGCTCAAGGTCAGTGATTATACCGTCGTGTTTGTCAAGGACATTGAGGTCTTTCTTGTATAGTTCTTCTGTGTATTCTTGCCATCTTTTCCTAATCTCTTCTGCTTCTGTTAGGTCCCTACCGTTTTTGTCCTTTATCATGGCCAGCTTTGCATGGAACGCTCCCTTGATTTCTCCAATTTTCTTGAAGAGATCTCTAGTCCTTCCCATTCTATTGTTTTCTTCTATTACTTTGCACTGTTCATTCAGGAAGGCCTCCTTATCTCTCCTTGCTGTTCTCTGGAAATCTGCGTTCAGTTGGGTAAATCTTTCCTTTTCGCCTTTGCCTTTCGCTTTCCTTCTTTCCTCTGCTATTTGTAAAGCCTCATCAGAAAGCCACTTTGCTTTCTTACATTTCTTTTTCTTTGGGATGGTGGTGATTGCTGCCTCCTGTACGATGTCACGAACCTCTGTCCATAGTTCTTCAGGCACTCTATCTATCAAATCCAGACCCTTGAATCTATTCTTCACCTCTACTGTATATTCATCAGGGATGCGATCTAGGTCAAACCTGAATGGCCTCGTGGTTTTCCCAATTTTCTTCAGTTTAAGTCTGAATTTTGCAATGAGTAGCTCATGATCTGAACCACAGTCAGCTCCAGGTCTTGTTTTTACTGACTGAATAGAGCTTCTCCATCTTTGACTGCAAATTATATAGTCAATCTGATTTCGGTGTTGCCCATCTGGTGATGTCCATGTGTAGAGTCGCCTCTTAGGTTGTTGGAAAAGGGTGTTCGCTATGACCAGTGTGTTCTCTTGACAAAACTCTGTTAACCTTTGCCCTGCTTCATTTTGCTTTCCAAGGCCAAACTTGTCTGTTATTCCAGTTACCTTTTGACTTCCTACTTTAGCATTCCAGTCCCCTATGATGATGAGGACATCATTTTTTGGTGTTAGTTCTAGGAGGTGTTGTAGGTCTTCATAGAACCGGTCCACTTCAGCCTCTTCTGCATCAGTGGTTGGGGCATAGACTTGGATTACTGTGATGTTGAATGGTTTGCCTTGGAATCGGACAGAAATCATTCTGTCATTTTTGAGATTGTATCCCAGTACTGCCTTTTGCACTCTCTTGTTGACTATAAAGGCCACACCATTTTTTCTACGAGATTCCTGGCCACAGTAGTAGATATAATGGTCTTCTGAGTTAAATTCGCCCATTCCTGTCCACTTTAGTTCACTGATTCCTAGGATATCGATGTTCAGTCTTGCCATCTCATTTTTGACCACGTCAAGCTTACCTTGATTCATAGATCTTACATTCCAGGTTCCTATGCAGTATTGTTCTTTGCAGCATCGGACTTTCCTTTCACCATCAGACACATCCACAACTGAGCGTCCTTTCGGCTTTGGCCCAGCCGCTTCACTCTTTCTGGGGTTACTTGTACTTGTCCTCTGCTCTTCCTCAGTAGCATATTGGACACCTTCCGACCTGAGGGGCTCATCTTCCGGCGTCATATCATTTAGCCTTTTGATACTGTCCATGGGGTTTTCTTGGCAAACATACTGGAGTGGGTTGCCATTTCCTTCTCCAGGTGGATCACGCTTGGTCTGAGTTCTCTGCTGTGGCCTGTCCGTCTTGGGTGGCCCTTCACGGCATAGCCCACAGCTTCATTGAACTGCGCAAGCCCCCTCGCCACGACAAGGCAGTGATCCATGAGGGGGAAAGTTAGGTAGCATCTAAGTAAGTTAATTTAATCTGATTTTTTTAAGATAATTTTTTTAAGTCACTGGTGGTAAATAGAAATAGTTTGTTTGAGATGCAGCTATCAAACTATTTAATTTAATTTATTGATCTGATTTGATTTATACCCTGCCCTCCCCTTCACAATCCCTTTGGGTCAAGCTGCAGATTGTCCACTTTGCCTGAAGGGAGATGCATATGTGTGTGAAACTGCTGGATATGCCAGGACTACAGTTAGCAGTTTTTAAGTTCAAAATGATAAAGATATGATTCACTGACATAAGAGCTTATTGTCCTGGACACAGGAGAACTTAGATGATCAACTACAATCCAAAACAAAATTACACTGATTAATCAACTGAGTAGTCAACTGAAGTCAATTGGCTTAGGAAGGCGTAAATCTCTCTGTTATAAAACCAATCCCAGTGAGTTACTTTCTTTTTAAAAATGTCATTTTTTCTTTCTTTCAGCTTCTACGACTACTACAAGTAAGACTACGCCTATGCCAACAACAATACCGTGCACAACTGAGGAAATAGAAACATGGTCACCAGGTAAGTATTCATTCACAGAAGTATATATTAATCTTTTAATTTCAAAACTTTAGTATAAAGTTCTACAGATAGATCTGTGCCCACAGTTGTATTTCTGAAATTACCCGCAGTATAAAAACATTCTGGGGATGTTACCATACAATGTATTAAGAATGTACATGTTATGAAGCTGCAGTGAAGAATACTGTCCTAGTGATTCATTAGTTGGTTCTAGATCAGATTTAATCAGCCCCTTAGGAAAAGAAAAACGCTTTTACACCTGCTACTTACGTTACACCTTTGCAGTTCTATGACCCATGCGTCCTTTCTGCTTTATTCATGTATTTGTTTATAAATTATATTTAACCTTGACTAGTCTTCAAAGTTGGGATGGAACTATTACCTCCGGAGTAGTTTTAAAATACTATCTGGCCAAATCAAGTTTATATATGTTTTTTTCTTTAACCTGCTGTAGAAGATGAGGGAGGCAGGGGGTGGGTGGGAGAGATGTGTCAATGCCTGTCAAGATGCTGATCTTTATCTGCATCAAGAAGATACTGCTCTGAATGAGCACTTTTAATGAGGGCATGGATGCATGCTTCCATTTCCTGAGGCCACTAGTTGAGTACAACTAGTGCAAGATCCAGAATGATTAAGCCCTAGAGATCAGTTGTAGTCAGGGGTCATTTTGTAGAAAAAGAGGTGCAGGAGGTCATTAGCATAACTTATTTGCATAACTTATTTGCATATGCCACACCCCCTGACGTCACCGGAAGTGTGTCAGAAGGCAACACACACCACTCAGGCTCCACTGGACTGTTTTGGATTGCTAGCTATGGGGGGGAGGGGAACATGCTGATCTGCCCTCACAGAAGAGGGAGAGCTTGGCCCTGATGGTGGGCGGGGGGAGGGCTCTGCAACTTACCTGGCTGCTTCTTGCTCCTTGTAGCCCAACTGAGGGTTGCTGGGAGCAGGGGGCAGGGCTTGATGCATGTGCCCGCCCCCTGGGCTCCTTACTGTCGGAGCTCCGCTCCTGTGTGCTCCCACAGGAAATGACCTCTGGTTGTAGTACAAATTGCAGATTAGAATGTGGTATAAATAAAAGCACGTGAAATATTAATTCAATCAGGATGTTTCCTCAGAAATCAAGTGAGGATATCAATAGTATAAGTAGGGAGGTTAGAAGTTATTTTAAAACTATTAACATGCATTGTTAAAAGGTCTGAAATAGCCTGAAATTCTATTTAGGATACTTACGCAACATAAGATAAGAAGATGACTTCTAATTTTTACTCTTATCCACTTATTCTTAGAAGTTTAGTAGTGGTAATCAACCAATCAATCAACTTTATACCCACATATATGTGCATATGAAGAAAACAATAATTTTCAATTAAATGTGTTTGTGTTAAGGTTATGGCTTAGATCCCTGGAGGTTTTCCAAAGGTGGAAGGATTAGTATTCACAGAGTACATTTTTCTCACCATTCACTTCCTGGAGCAGCCTGTAACGCTCCCTGAAACATTGTTCCTGAGGGACCAAAGACCCCAAGAACAGGATCTGCAGGGCTTTTAAGGCTGCCTCAGCAGGGGAAAGTGAAAGAGTAGAACAACCAGAGTATATATCCTCTGTGGTGCAGGCGGTTAATCACCTGCTACTAATAACATCTAAGAACAGCTGTACAGCTGTTCGATACCCGCCGCGGCCAAACTGAGCACCTGGCCCTCGTCCCAGCTCCTGCTAACCCAGCGGTTCGAAAGCGTCATTAATATCAAAATAAGCGCAAGTAGATAAATGGGAACCTACCTTAGATGGTAGGGGGCACCCTCGCCCATCGTGGGGGTCGTTGGAGGGCCGGAGGTCGGCAGACGGCGAAAGCAGCGAGCGGCAAAAATGGCATCCACATACATCGATAGTGAAACCTGACGGCGGTGGAGAAGGCGGAGCCAGGACGACGCACGAGTGTGGCGGCGCAGGCGGGGCGGAGCCGCGAGGACAGAGCCCTGACCGCGCCGAGCATGCCGTGCGGCAGAAGGGCCAACCAATCCACCGCTGAAAAAGATCACCAGAAAAAAGGAGCCAGAAGCCGCAACTGAAGACGACGGAGCCGACCCGAGAAAAAGAACAACCCCCCTCCACTGGGTGCCGGTAGAAATGTCCCCACCCCTAAGAATTGTGGACATAGGATAGGGATAATGAATAACTGTAGCCGCTCAGAGACCCCTTTGGGGGTTAGAGCGGGGTAGCAAGAAGAAGAAATAAATAAATAAATCCATGGAAACCCACTGGGTGATCTAAGCAAAAGTATCTTTAAATGGCAGAAAACATTTTAACATGTATTTTCATATTACTGGTGTTTTTATTAACCATTTTGATCTATCAAAACAGCTTAATCAATTAAACTAACTGGTTAAATGACAGCAATTCCAGGCCTATATCAATCAGAATGTTTTGTTCTTGCTCTACAGAGATTTCAACAGTGAAGACGACTACATCCACAACCACATCAACCACCCCAATAACCACCACCACTCCTACTCAGACGCCAAGTACAACTACAGCACCCCCTACCACTACCCCGGTTCCAACCACAACCACAGAATTGCCCACAACCACGCCTACTGAGACATCATCCACAACCACATCAACCACCCCAATAACCACCACCACTCCTACTCAGACGCCAAGTACAACTACAGCACCCCCTACCACTACCCCGGTTCCAACCACAACCACAGAATTGCCCACAACCACGCCTACTGAGACATCATCCACAACCACATCAACCACCCCAATAACCACCACCACTCCTACTCAGACGCCAAGTACAACTACAGCACCCCCTACCACTACCCCGGTTCCAACCACAACCACAGAATTGCCCACAACCACGCCTACTGAGACATCATCCACAACCACATCAACCACCCCAATAACCACCACCACTCCTACTCAGACGCCAAGTACAACTACAGCACCCCCTACCACTACCCCGGTTCCAACCACAACCACAGAATTGCCCACAACCACGCCTACTGAGACATCATCCACAACCACATCAACCACCCCAATAACCACCACCACTCCTACTCAGACGCCAAGTACAACTACAGCACCCCCTACCACTACCCCGGTTCCAACCACAACCACAGAATTGCCCACAACCACGCCTACTGAGACATCATCCACAACCACATCAACCACCCCAATAACCACCACCACTCCTACTCAGACGCCAAGTACAACTACAGCACCCCCTACCACTACCCCGGTTCCAACCACAACCACAGAATTGCCCACAACCACGCCTACTGAGACATCATCCACAACCACATCAACCACCCCAATAACCACCACCACTCCTACTCAGACGCCAAGTACAACTACAGCACCCCCTACCACTACCCCGGTTCCAACCACAACCACAGAATTGCCCACAACCACGCCTACTGAGACATCATCCACAACCACATCAACCACCCCAATAACCACCACCACTCCTACTCAGACGCCAAGTACAACTACAGCACCCCCTACCACTACCCCGGTTCCAACCACAACCACAGAATTGCCCACAACCACGCCTACTGAGACATCATCCACAACCACATCAACCACCCCAATAACCACCACCACTCCTACTCAGACGCCAAGTACAACTACAGCACCCCCTACCACTACCCCGGTTCCAACCACAACCACAGAATTGCCCACAACCACGCCTACTGAGACATCATCCACAACCACATCAACCACCCCAATAACCACCACCACTCCTACTCAGACGCCAAGTACAACTACAGCACCCCCTACCACTACCCCGGTTCCAACCACAACCACAGAATTGCCCACAACCACGCCTACTGAGACATCATCCACAACCACATCAACCACCCCAATAACCACCACCACTCCTACTCAGACGCCAAGTACAACTACAGCACCCCCTACCACTACCCCGGTTCCAACCACAACCACAGAATTGCCCACAACCACGCCTACTGAGACATCATCCACAACCACATCAACCACCCCAATAACCACCACCACTCCTACTCAGACGCCAAGTACAACTACAGCACCCCCTACCACTACCCCGGTTCCAACCACAACCACAGAATTGCCCACAACCACGCCTACTGAGACATCATCCACAACCACATCAACCACCCCAATAACCACCACCACTCCTACTCAGACGCCAAGTACAACTACAGCACCCCCTACCACTACCCCGGTTCCAACCACAACCACAGAATTGCCCACAACCACGCCTACTGAGACATCATCCACAACCACATCAACCACCCCAATAACCACCACCACTCCTACTCAGACGCCAAGTACAACTACAGCACCCCCTACCACTACCCCGGTTCCAACCACAACCACAGAATTGCCCACAACCACGCCTACTGAGACATCATCCACAACCACATCAACCACCCCAATAACCACCACCACTCCTACTCAGACGCCAAGTACAACTACAGCACCCCCTACCACTACCCCGGTTCCAACCACAACCACAGAATTGCCCACAACCACGCCTACTGAGACATCATCCACAACCACATCAACCACCCCAATAACCACCACCACTCCTACTCAGACGCCAAGTACAACTACAGCACCCCCTACCACTACCCCGGTTCCAACCACAACCACAGAATTGCCCACAACCACGCCTACTGAGACATCATCCACAACCACATCAACCACCCCAATAACCACCACCACTCCTACTCAGACGCCAAGTACAACTACAGCACCCCCTACCACTACCCCGGTTCCAACCACAACCACAGAACTGCCCACAACCACTACTGAGGCATCAACCACAACCACATCAACCACCCCAATAACCACCACCACTCCTACTCAGACGCCAAGTACAACTACAGCACCACCTACCACCACAACAATATGGACAACTACATCATGCCACTGTGAATATGATGGGAAGACATATGAGCCAGGTGAATATATTTGGTTTTATGCATTGAGTTAATTTTGCACTGTGCAAGTTTTCATTTATCATTACTGTTCGAAGCCATATAAAATATAAAGCTAGAAGCAACTTAGGGCGCATTCAGACGGGCTGTTTAATCTTCTTTCGTCACTCTTCAATAACGGGTTTTATATGCACGATCACACAGCAACATCTGCCTCCCGTCCCCAGCCATTGGTTTCCTGCTCAAAATCTCCTTTAAACCAGAGTATTTCCAGTGGTTTCCTGGTTCTCCGGTTTCAAGCTGCACTTTTCCATGTCTGATCGCTCTTCTGTTGCGGTGTCAAGCCCCTTCTGGGTGCTTAAATGCCCTCCCCTTTTGAAAGCTGCTTCCGCTTTTCATCCACCATTTTTTTTTTAGCGTTGGCGGTATGCGCATAGGCAGAGCTCCGCTCCCGCATTAATAAAACCAACGTTTACACGGTGACGTGTTACAGCATTTAGACGAGTTCGGGATCTCACAGAGGCCAGTTATGTGAGTGAAATCATGGTGCTCTGTGGAACCGTCAAACGAAAGCTATGATTCACCTTGGTTGTTCTGTACATGTGTGAAGATTTCAACCTATGGATGACCGCCTATCCATATGCGCAAACTGAGAATTTTTTTAAATAATCACCGACATGCGCTCCCGCGCGTCAGTAGTGTAGACGGCCTGGAGCTATGTGACTGCACGGTGAGGCGGGATAAGGAGGTGTGTGCGATCGTGATTATCCAGATCAAAGATAATTGTTTCGGGATGGGACCAATTTAAACCGCGGTCACCATGCTGTCTTATCGAACCAGTGTTTCTAAATTTGGGGGGGGGGGTTGTACATATTACTTTAATATTGCCATCCATTGAAACAATTCTTTTTGTAGGTTGAATATGTCAGTATATTAGGATTGTAAATCTGAACACACTCGTAATTTGAGTTCCTTTGGATTCATCTGAGGATTGCCTCCATCTAAAATAGCATAACTATTTTCAGGACACATGAAATTCAACTGTTTCCCATCTACACAAGCATATGTTTTGGGTTGCATTTTGAAATGTGCACCTGTAATGCCCACAGATACATTTACAATTTGGATTTTATAAGTGTCCTTTTATGGCATGGATAGAAATATAAACTTAGCTTTATTGAAAGTAAGATAAAAATAGGTAAGTTTTTTTCCTTGTCCCTTTCACTCTTGCTGGTGGGAGGGAGTTGCGGTTGGATGAACTCTGCTTTTAATGTTTGAGGAGCCTAATTTATTACATTGAAGTTTATTCTTAAAATAGGAATGTTTGATCTCTGTTTTGGTCTTTCTTTTACTCATTAAAAAAACCAAACAAAACCCCGGTGAATTGGGTTGTATGTTATTTTACTGTTTACAGGTGACCACTACCTCTTAATCTCTTTCTATTGAGAAATTAAGTCAAATACAGTCCAGTCCTAAGGGGAGTCACATCTTTCTAAGTACATTTAATTAATGGGTTTCAAACTACGTAACTCTGTTTAGAATTCCACTGTTAATTCCACAGGCATCAGAGTACTATTGGGGATGAGGAGAAAAAAATGTACATTGTGCTTGTTAGAAGAACCCACCCACTCCCTCCCTCCCAAGAAGTATGCTTGCATACAAAAGCTTATATCTGGAATAAAACATTGTTGGTTTTGAAGCTGCAATGGGACTCCAACTTTGTTTTCTCTCTCTCCTTCCCTCCCTCCCCAAAAGAAGAGGAGCAGCCCTGGAGAAGGAAGCAGAAGCTCTCTGTGTGTGTGCACACAAGAGAGAGAGACAGAGAGACTTGTCTTTGTATCTCTCCTGCATGAAGTTCCATGGAGCTGTGTATGTGTGTGTGTGTGAGAGAGAGAGAACGAGCAAGGGAGGGGGAGGGAGTCCAGAGGCAGTAGACAGGAAACAGGAAGCAAAAAGCCGCAAGGGAGCTGGGGAAAAAAGCAAAGTACGGTGCGGCTGCAATAGCAGCCCTGGGAAAGGAAGCAGGCGAAGGAAGTTGCTCAGTTGCTGGATTTGAGCTCTCTGTGGGCCGCATGCGGCCCGTGGGCCACATGCTTGACACCCCCGGTCTAAGGCTTGGTTTCACTTATCCCTAATTTGAAACATTTCTATGGTGTAAATGTATACAAAGTTATCCATTGCTTGTGGTAAGTTACATATCTACAGGAAAAAAATAATTTTCGAAAGTTACAATTTCATTTAAATCCTTTCTATCCAACTATAGGTCAAACTGTTAACACAGGCCGTCATGAAGATGTTTGTTTTCTCGCCAACTGCTCACTATGGTGTCAGATAGAGTTTTTCCATTGGGACTGTCCATCAACTACAACCACAGCAGTGCCAACTACAACCACAGTAGTGCCAACTACAAGCACAGCAGTGCCAACTACAACCACAGTAGTGCCAACTACAAGCACAGCAGTGCCAACTACAAGCACAGCAGTGCCAACTACAACCATACAAAGCACCACAACTTCTCCACATGTAGTGATAACCAATATTACAACTCCTACGGCACCACAAAAAATACCATGTTTAAATGGATCTGTTGAGGTTAGTAATTTTTAATTATTTAACATTGTAATTAATATAGGGATGTTATGGAGTTATTTTGCTCATTTTTCTGTGTCTCTCATAAACCAAGTTATTTTTTAAACTTCTTCTTTAAAATAAAAGGTTCTAGAGTACCTGCAAGAGTGACTGAAAGGGAAAAAAACTGTCTTCGTTTTGTGTGCACCGTTGTTTTAACATTTTCTATTCCTTGTGTCAAGCACCCAATCTACATTGTGAACTCACAGTTTGCACAAGTCGCAGTACTAGTGGCATCTCACTCTGCCAAGCAGAATAAAAGATGCAAAATGAATTCTGCTTTGTACTAAAGAAAAAAGAGAACAATGAAGATTTTTTACCACATTTGGTGGCCTTTTTAGTTCTATTGCAATATATTGGGGAAAATGAAATTAAAAGCAAGTAGGGTATTATTAAGGAGCTGTGGTGGCTCAAATGGTTAAGATGCTGAACTGCAGGCTGTGGAAGGTCGGTAGTTCAGCAGTTCGAGACCCGAGTGTGCCGCATGACGGAGTGAGCTCCCGTCTCTAGTTCCAGCTCCTGCCAACCCGGCAGTTCAAAAGCAAGAAATTGCAAGTAGATAAATAGGTACCACTTAGGTGGGAAGGTAACAGCGTTCCGTGCGCCTTGGGTGTTTAGTTATGCCGGCCACATGACCACGGAAACGTCTTCGGACAGCGCTGGCTCTTTGGCTTTGAAACGGAGATGAGCACCGCAACCCTAGAGTCAGACTCGACGGACTTTCGAGCAAGGGAACCTTTACCTTTTTAGGGTATTATTGGGTATATGTTTTTTTCCTTTATATAATCAATTGCATTATTTCTGTAACTCGATGCATTACAGCATACTCCAAAATCCAGTTGAATGAGGCTACCCAGATTCAGGAGTGGGGTTTTACCCTCCCTGTAACTACTTCCCCAAGTGTACCACTTTATTTTCCTTGATAGTAGTGAATGGCAATCATCCACTTACATGGCAGAAATGAAAGGAGTGTATTCATGGACAGCACTAAGGCGGGGAATGAATTTGCTCATCGCTAGTGGTCCTCTGCCATTAATAACCAAGCATACTGGAAGAGTGGGAAGCAAGTTAGATTCAGTGAACAGCCAGCAGCGTTTCAGCTCATAAAATAGAGGTAGGGTTGCCAGGTCTGGGTTGGAAAATACCTGGAGACTTTGGGGTTAGATCCAGGAGAGAGCGGGGTTTGGGGAGGGGAGGGGCCTCCGCATGGTACAATTCCAGAGAGTCCACCCTTCAAAGCAGCCATTTTCTCCAGGGGAGCTGATCTCTGTCAGCTGGAGATCGATTGTAAAAGCAGGAGATCCCCAGGCCCCACCTGGAGGCTGGCGACCCTAACTACAGGACACTGTCCTGTCCACAAAGCCACTTGTGAATGGTGGAGACTCCCCTCCCCCCAAAAAAAATGGCATGGGATGTGGCCTGTGGGCTTGCAGCAGTGAGGATGAAGAGGGGGGGCGGGAAATCAAAGACTATCTCAAGCCCTTTGCACAAGCAGAAACTGCTCAAGCATAGTTGGATTGTAGAGAATAGAAGTACAATCCTAAACAGAGTTAAACCCTTCTGAACTAATTGAGCTCAATAGAGGAATGCAATTCTGCTTAGGATTTTGCTGCAAGATATATCAATTACATTAGCCAGGCATGAGTTGCATCTGTTTTGTGATCTGGTTCTTAACCTCACATGAATTAGCTTGGTTTCGGTCTATTTAGGCCTCCTCTGAAGGCATGCGTACGACTCTAGTGCTGCGGTGGCTCAAGTGGTTAAGACGCTGAACTGCAGGCTGTGGAAGGTCAGTAGTTCAGCAGTTCGAGACCCGGGTGCCGCATGATGGAGTGAGCTCCCATCTCTAGTTCCAGCTCCTGCCAACCTAGCAGTTCGAAAGCAAGTAATTGCAAGTAGATAAATAGGTACCACTTAGGTGGGAAGGTAACAGCGTTCCGTGCGCCTTGGTGTTTAGTCATGCCGGCCACATGACTACGGAAACGTCTTCGGACAGCGCTGGCTCTTCGGCTTTGAAATGGAGATGAGCACCGCAACCCTAGAGTTGGATTCGACTGGCTTTCGAGCAAGGGAACCTTTACCTTTTACCGTATGTTTAAAATTGCACATTTTTTTTTAAAGAGGAACATGAAGATATATATGTCTGTGAACTCTGGGATATTAAAATAATCTCCGATTAGTTAATATCTATTTGGACATTAACTGAAGTGCTATTTATTTGCTCTCTCTGTCTTCTCAAAATACAGCCAGGCGACTCTTGGTGGATATGCAATTGTACCCAGGCCATATGCATTACAAATGACACATGGGAGGTGGTTCCTGTCGAGTGCGTACCACCACCTGAGCCCCAATGCTCCAATAAGCTGGCCCCTGTGCGAGTGTTAGATGACAACGGGTGCTGTTGGCACTGGGAATGTGATTGTGAGTACACACACACACACACACACATGTGTATATATATATATATGGAGAGGAGAGGGAGGGAGAGAGAGAGAGAGAGAGAGAGAGAGAGAGAGAGAGAGAGAGAATTTCTTAGGTGTTCTAATGAATGAGGAAAGCTATTGAAGTAAAAACATTGTAAAGTTTTAAACCAGTCTACCTCCATTTGGAATTCAACTGAGACATCCTGTTTTCTCTGCCATCCAGCTCTCTCTCTGAGGGCCACCAGCTTCTAAACTGTCTTATTTATCCTCCACTCACCACCAATGTTCCCTCTAAGCTGAGTTAGTGTGAGTTAGCTCACAGTTTTTTAGCCTCCGGATCACACATTTTTGTCTTAGCTCAGGAAGGATGGCTCCAGAACAAACTAATTTAGGCGGTAGCCAAACCGCTCGCTCACAACTTTAATGGCAGTAGCTCACAAAGTAGAATTTTTGCTCACAAGACTCCACAGCTTAGAGAGAGCATTGCTCACCACACATTAGTATTTTTACATGAATACAACTTGCAGAAGACTCAGTTTGTTGGGTCTGATAACAACTAAAGAGGCTGACAGTAATTTACTTAGGGCTGCCAAACCGCGGTGGGGGATCCATGCGTCGTCGCAGGATTGCTGCCGCGGGGGGACAGCGATACGCGTTGCACCGGCGTCGCCAGGATGTGACGTTACGCGTTGCTCTGGCAATGGGACTCCAAACAGCCCCGTTGCCAGAACGACGTGTAGCATCACTTCCTGGTGACGCCGGTGCAATGCGTATTGCTGTCCCCCCCCGGCAGCAATCCTGCGACAACGCACGGATCCCCCGCCACCGTTTGGCAGCCCTAAATTTACGTAAAGCTGCTGTATCTGTAGTGAACTCCAGCTGGATTTTCCCTCTTATTAGGATTGCCTGATTTCTTGTTACAAAACTCTTTTCACATTCTTCTATGAGCTGCTAAGCAAATTCTCTATTATTTCTCTGAAGGCTACTGCACAGGCTGGGGAGATCCTCATTATAAGACATTTGATGGCTTCTACTACAGTTACCAAGGAAATTGTACCTATACCCTGGTGGAAGAGATTAACAAAAAAGTAGACAATTTTGGGGTCTACATAGACAACTACCATTGTGATCCACGGGAACCCGTTTCCTGTCCTCGCACTCTCATTGTGAGGCATGAGACCCAGGAAGTGCGTATAACAACAGTCAGAGAGGTCCCCATGAAAGTACAGGTATGAGAAAACGGCTTACATTTCAGCACTGATTTGAGAAAGTGTAATTACTTTTGTGAGAAGTGTACTAGGTCAAATGCAGGTGGGCTAAATTCAGTTAAGTTTACATCGGTCTAAAAGAAGCCCATATTTCATTTTTGTCCTATCTCCCCTTCCCCGTACTAGGTGCTCATAAATGGGCAGACCGTGGCTCTGCCTTACAAAAAATATGGTTTGAAAGTCTATGAGGTGGGTGTAAATCAAGTGGTGGAAATTCCTGAACTTAAGATGAATGTGACCTACAATGGAATGGCCTTCACAATTAGACTGCCCTATCAACTATTTGGCAATAACACCCAGGGACAATGCGGTAAGGATTCTTTTTGTTTGTGCTTCTAAAATGAAACACTAAGAAAAGAGATGATAAGAAAAGCATTGTAAAGTCAGACACATTCAATTCAATTTGATTCATTACGATCAAAGATCAGCAAATACCTTAAAATGTTACATATAGGTAACAGTGAAATACAGCCAGTTGATACAGGTAAAAGTTTTAGTTAAGACAACGTGGATTTTGAAATTTCCTAAGAAGTAATAGTCGTCTGTCTGGTTAGGATAGCCATAGCACAAAATCTTGCTACCTTAGCAGTAGTTTCATTACAAATATCAGCTAAAAGAAGAGTAGAATAAAACTGATTTGACCTTCCTGGGTAGGCGACAATTATTGGTGCAATATATTTAGAACGAATCTCATGATAAAACCGACAAAGATAAAAGGACGTGCTCAATTGTCTCGACCTGTCCAGAATTACAAGGACAGAGTCAGCTTGCGTATGGGGTATGAGCGTATCTCCCTTGCAGTTTAAATCTTGATAATGCCAAGATATGCATATCATATGCAAGCTACTTTGCTTCATTAGCTGGAACTGTTTTCATGTCAGGTAAAGCATACATCTAACGAAAATTACAAAGGTTAGTTCTGCCATGCAAAAACCCCAAATGGGTGTATAACTTGGCTTAAAATAAAAATAGTCTTCGGCATATTACTTATACATTATGGGAAACACAAAGATCAACTCCTGTGTGAACTCCTCTGCTTTTTGTCAATGCTAGGCACATGCACCAACAACACAGCTGATGACTGTAGGTTACGCAATGGAACTCTTGCCTCTTCCTGTGAAGTAATGGCAGATAACTGGATTGTTAATGACCCATCGAAGCCCCAATGCTTTCCACAGCTCCCACCGTCAGGACCAACGCAAGCCCCACCTTTGTCTCCCTGCAAACCTTCTCCTCTCTGTGAGCTCCTACGGAAAGGGTAAGTGTGTTCCGCATGGCTTTCACTTTTGGATTTTGCTTGTGTTTAATATTATTATTTTTTCTTCCTTGCTTAAAGTCTGCTTTTTCTTTGGTTGTCTACTCTTTCAATAATTTTAATTAAGAAGTTCCTCCTGTGTCAGCATACTGGGTCGCAAATGATTTCTTCCTAAAGATGCCTGGATATAGAGTGTTATGGTTTTATGACATCAGCCAGTCAGTTTATTATTACAGTCCTTGACCAGTACATATCAATTTGAAAGACAATGTAGAAAAATTCCCGACAGTATCCTAGCTGGAATGAGCCAGAAAAGACTCATAGGCTGCGGTCACACGGAGCATTAGCCATGCTAGAGCAATGGAAGACAAGCGGAGTTTCGGGCGCGATCTCACCAGCACATCTGGGAAGCGTAGCACTTCCGTGACGCAACCGAGGCTTCCCGCCGAAAACACGCAGAAAAAAACTAGTACCTCGGAGGTACTAGTTTCCGGAAACTGCGGGGCAAGGGCAGGCGTCTGATCGTGTTTCCGGAGGCATCCGGCGCCCGCCCATGTCCCCTTGCCAAAAAGGTGTTTTTTCCCCCAAGTCTCTGTGGATGCGCACAAGCACCCAACGGAGCATGCGCAGTCGTGGTGTACACAAAAAAACACACATCCAGTTTGCCGCACCGCGCGCTTCTTTTTTGTGCGTGGGATTGTCATGCGATCGGCACCTCTCCCTTCCCACGGAACCTCCACGGTACCTCCACGGTACCTCCACGGGAGGTCTGATCACTTTACCGCACAGTAGTTTGCCCCGGGGCAAACTGCCATGCTTCCCCCCCGCAGTTTCCTGCCCGTGTGACCGGGGCCATAGTAACATAAAAGCTTAAAAGTTATAAAAAATATATAAAAGGAAATAAGTATAACTACCGTTCAGACCTTTTAAACCATTTAAAACGTCAGTTTAAAAGGATTTTTGTTACAAAGTAGAGATATGGTCTATTTGCCTCGCTTTTTGCATCCCTTATATACCTGGGTGCAGAACCCAGCCACCTGTCTTGATGTATGATGAGTTTTATGACATAGTTCTGTCCTCTTTTTAATCCAATGACAGAATTGCAGTTTAGGTTAATGATGTGTTAATTAACGACCCCATCCCAGTGTTAATTAATTATCTTTTGTATATTACTTCTGTTGCGATCTCACAGTGATTATGAAATAAATTGCTGTACTCACATGAGTAGCTGGATGTAATACAACTGCTTTATTGCAACCAACTTCAGACTAACACTGAAACTAAGAAAAAGTGAACAGTCCAGTGGGGCGGAGTTTTCCTCCAACCCATAATCAGGTTCCAGTTAACTCTTTACTATCCATTTTACTACAATTTCTTTTCATGGAGAGTTGTGTGGCTCAAAGAACAATTGCACAAATTATAATTGAGTGGGGAAGGGTGAATACAATCAAATATGGAATGTATACTGATTTCTGCATGAGTGCAGTGCAAATGTTACAATTGGCATTCACAGTACAGATGGTTCATCCAACTGACTGAGACGAGAGCTCCATAATTTACTATCCATTATGAGATCCATTCTGGTTCACAATAATGCCAGACTGTCTCCTGTTGATTCTTAAATGTCCAGGACACAGAAAGTGTTACTAGCAAAACAACACACACACACACCCCCAGGCCAAACAATTTGAACAAACAATAGTATACAATATTTTAAGACTTATAATTGCATATACCATCTGATAGTATCCCACAGTTCTGGAGATTAAAGTGTATTATGACAATGCTTCATGGTGCTATCTAAGATACCACAGTTGGTATGGCTTCCTTAATTTTTTCATGCATTATAAGTATACGAGTAACAAGTTTAATGTTCTTGTGACTGTGGGGTTTTTTTAATGAAATGAGTGCAACCTATCATGGAGACCTAGATGAGTTGCTCTTTTAATACATAATTTAAGAGACTACCTTGAAGATCCTTTGTATTTTGGGCAGTCTGCTGTTGTGTTTCATATGCATACATTTATCACATTTAAAATTAGATCAACATTGTATGGATTTTTTAAAAAAAGGATTGGGAGGCAAAAATTCCACCTCCTCAACCAATTAATGAGTGACAGCCAGAATGGTGTGGTGGTAGAGTGTCAGACAAGGAACTGGGAGACCTGGCTTCAAATCCCAACTCTACCATGGAAACTTACTGGATGACCTTGGGTCAGTCACACATTCTCAGCATTGCTGGTCCTTTCCGCACTAGACCTTAAATCCTGGTTCAACCCTGTCCCCAAACCTATATTCTACACTACACGCAAGTTCACCCCTGTAATTATCTCAGGGTATTTTTACATTCTATACTACATGCGAGTTCACCCCTGTAATTATCTCGGGGCATTTTTACATTCTATACTACATGCGAGTTCACCCCTGTAATTATCTCAGGGTATTTTTACATTCTATACTACATGCGAGTTCACCCCTGTAATTATCTCGGGGCATTTTTACATTCTATACTACATGCAAGTTCACCCCTGTAATTATCTCGGGGTATTTTTACATTCTATACTACATGCGAGTTCACCCCTGTAATTATCTCAGGGTATTTTTACATTCTATACTACATGCGAGTTCACCCCTGTAATTATCTCGGGGTATTTTTTGTTTCCACATTACATTGAGGTCACCCCAGTTTCATCCCACATCTGTCCAGGGATAAACGGATGCTGTTGTAACCAGGGATAAATGCAAGGTATTGTGTCCCGAGTTGAACTCTGAGGGATGAGATCCAAGTGTGGAAAGGACCACTGTCAGGATAAAATGGAAGACAAGAGAACAATCTAAGCTGCTTTGGGTCTCCATTGAGGAGAAAGGCGAGGTAAATGAGTAAATAGTGTCCCTTTCTGCACTTGGATCTCATCCCTGGTTTTATCAGAGTTCAACTCACAACACAAGACCTTGCATTTATCCCTGGTTAAAGCAGCATCTGTTTATCCTGGAACAAGTGTGGGGTGAAACCAGGGTGACCTCAATGTAACGTGGAAACAAAAAATACCCCAAAATAGTTACAGGGGTGAACTCGAGTGTAGTGCAGAATGTAAGTTTGGGGGCAGGGTTGAACCAGGATTTAAGGTCTAGTGCAGAATCACCCAGTGACACCTATGAACAAGTATCCTGCAAGTCCTTCAGCATTTGTTATTCTAACCTCCGTGGAATCTTTGATCTGTGCAACTGCTTGGCTCCAACAAGGAAGTTTTATCGACCCTTCCAGAATTGCAACCTGCAGCAGATTCTGTTTTCCGCTCCCGTAGTTTAAGGACATACAGTCCAAGCTTCTTTTTCAAACGGTGGCTCGAGACATAATGAGAATTAAAACTTTTGTTAACGAAACGAGCACAGATGATTCAATGAATGACATTGGTTGTATTTTTCTTCATCTAGTGTATTCGAGAAATGTCACGGGGCTGTTGTGGCCCAGAACTACTATGAAGCTTGCTTATTCGATAGCTGCCGCATTCCTAACCGTAACATAGAATGTGCAACTCTTCAGATCTATGCAGCGACCTGTGCAGATCAAGGTGTATGCATTGACTGGAGAGAGTTCACCAATGGTTCCTGTTGTAAGTACATGGTTCTCATATGCAGCTGAAAGCACTAAAATAGCTATAAAGTTAGCATGTTTTGGCTCAGATACTGTATATGCGGATTCAAGATATGGTTTCCATACCAGTATGATTCCATGCCTTGTGTGGTCTGCAGAGTCCTAGATTTCCTGCAGCTTCCACAGGGTATATCGCATGGTTTCTAGAACGGAGTGCGTCATTTAAGGGCACCCAACCAAAAGGCATACACATGCCCCAATACTGCTATTTAGGATCGTTTGCTATTCAATCAGCCATGTAGCTAGAAATTTTCACGAGGGAGGGGAGAAGAGGGGGCACGGTGGAAATTGTCTGAATCCTGATAATTGGTCAGGAAAAAAAGTATCTGCTGGATTTACAGAACTACACAGGTCAGCAACATACTCTACCAGAGGACTACTGAAAAAAATTCATGCCATTTTATTCCAATTAACTTGAACACACACACCCCTGGTTTTTCACTCACTACCAAGAACTGGAACCATCATTCAGAATTATATGGTACATTCACTTACTGAGCATTACTCCGCCCTATTCACAGTTTAAACTAACCCCATTTTGTTTAAATATTTAAAAAATGTAATTTTTGAATTTTTCTACAATTTCAATCTACACTTGTGGGTTAATTTCTCCACGAATCAATGAGGCTTTTATCAGAAACAGTATATTTTCACGACATTGCTAATTCTGTTCTTTATATGTTATTGTATCGGTTTATTTAAATATTAGTTTTATCCCACTTTTTTGAATTTTTGAATTTTTCCACAATTTCAATCTAAACTTATGGGTTAATTTCTCCACGAATCGATGAGGCTTTTATCAGAAACAGTATATTTTCACAACATTGATAATTCTGCTCTTTATATGTTATTGTATCGGTTTATTTAAATATTAGTTTTATCCCACTTTTTTGAATTTTTGAATTTTTCCACAATTTCAATCTAAACTTATGGGTTAATTTCTCCACGAATCGATGAGGCTTTTATCAGAAACAGTATATTTTCACAACATTGATAATTCTGCTCTTTATATGTTATTGTATCGATTTATTTAAATATTAGTTTTATCCCACTTTTTCTCATGGCTCAAGGCAATTTGCAGGTCACAATGAAAACATTACCATTTAAAACTAATAGCATAAAACCTCATGCCCACACACCCTTCCTCAAAAGATGCCAACAATTTGAACTCAATTAAAAGCCTGACACTGTCTGAAAATTTCTAATGATAGTACTCTCCTCACCTCCTCGGGGAGCCAGTTCCACAAAATGGGAGCTAATAAAGGCTTGGCTCTGGTTGATGCCAGGCAGGCTACCTTAAGTGGAAGTAGAGCCAGTAGATGGCAGCCGGAGGACCATGGTTGGCAAACAGGGACATATGAGAGGAGACTGTCCTATTTGCTGTCCTATTTGCTCTTAAGCCTGTCTGGGAATAGGAGACTGGGCACTCAATGAAATTGCTGAACAGTCGGGTTAGAACAGATAAAAGGAAGGACTTCTTCACCCAAAGAGTGATTAACACATGGAATTCACTGCCACAGGAGGTGGTGGCGGCTACAAGCATGGACAGTTTCAAGAGGGAATTAGATAAGCATATGGAGCAGAAGTCCATCAGTGGCTATTAGCCATAGGAACTCTCAGTCTGGGGCAAGTGATGCTCTGTATTCTTGGTGCTGGGGGGGGGGCAACAGTGGGAGGGCTTCCAGATCCAACATTAGCTTCTCTTATGTTCTTATGACCGGTTTCTATAGACGTTCTTCAAAACGAAGACTATTTTTTGTTAATATAAGATTCACTTGTGGATAAATTTCTTAGGGCTATATATTTTAATGAAAGCTTGCGTCCATTCCAGTCGCCCAACACTGTACGCTAATGCTTGACCGCCATGTCTGTGTTTTGTACCCGGCAAGTCCGATCTCTGTACTGTTGTTCTACTCACCGTTGGAGAGAAATTCATTGTAGAGTGGCTGGCCGTTGTAATCTCCACAAAGGCCACAGGTCTTATTGTTAAACTTGGCATCAAGCTCCAGCTACATTGCAAAAGCAAAACCAGAGAGAACATCTCAGTTGTGATAGCAAAGAGAGAGAGACGAAGCTGCTTTGCCTCGTGCTCAGTCCATTCAGTCCACTATATGCTGCTCTGACTGGCACTCATACCCCAATGTGTAATGGCATATTTTTGTTTTCCTTGTGTTCTCTCTGGTCCTCCACAGTTCTGTTGGGAACTTAATTCTCAGGCATGCTCAGAGCAGCTTGGATGAAAACCATGGCACACAGGAAACAGGGGCTTCGGTCTTCCCCTGCACTGTTTCCTGCCCTGAAACTGTCCCAAGAGACGATATTTGCCCTGTTGGGGGCTCTGTGTGTACTGATAATATACTTCTAGGATCCTCTCACAGGGCAAATAGCTAGTGCTCTGTGTGGGAATCTTAAGGGGGGGCGTTGTAAATTCGGGAGTGGGCGGCATCCCATGGGCTCCACATTAGCTATGGCCCTGTATTAGTGCCTCTACTAATATCTGCAAAAGCTTACTGAAATAGTTTTACAGACCTCTTTATCATGTATGCATGAGGTTCTGTCAAAAAAAATTGCAGCTCTATATATTTAACTTCATTGCTCTGAAAATGCTCTAGGCACATGCAAGTAAAAGTTATGCATATTCATTCTGAAGGGCAGAAACTGGCAAGCGAGTTGGGGCAGAAAGGCTTCTTCCCCTTCTTTTGGCTACAATGTCATGGTGCCCGAAAGTGGGCTGTTTTCCAGAATGTGAAACTACTTTTTCCATATAAACAACAACAGCAAAAAACAAACCAGTAATTTCATACTTATGCTAAAAACAGTAAACACGCTACCAAGCAATATCTTGTAATAGATTCAGTATAATAGGATAAAAACAGGGGTCATTTCCTGCAGGAGTGCACAGGAATGGAGCTCAGGCAGTAAAGAGCCCAGGGGGTTGGCACATGCAACAAGCCCCACCCCCTTCTCCCAGCAGCCCTGGGCCACGAGGAGCAAGAAGCAGCCCTCCTTCTTTCTTTCTCTCCTTCTTTCCCTTTCCTTCCTTAATTCCTTCTCTCCCTCTTTCTTTCCCTCTTTCCC